ACTATTACAGGTCTCTTCACTCCACGTCCCTCCCAGGAATGTTGACTGAGTTCTGTTCAGGGGAACAGTGAGTCTGGTTCCCCAGAACTGTGGTGATTTTGGCAGATCTAGCCCTGGTGTGGCTCTGTGGGTTAATGCGCCAGACTGCAAAGCTGTTTGAACTGCAAGGTTGGCGGTTGGAGCTCACCAGTTGCTTCTTGGAAACCCTATACAGGATTGCTATGGCTTGGAACCGACTCAAAGGCACCTCACAACAAAACCTTTAGTTACCTTCTCTATTTCTGTGAGGAGTTACAACTTCTAGGGAGTGTAAGCTGTATTTGAAGACACTTTACTATCAGTGCAGGACTCTATGTGAGTGTTGTTTATTGGTGTTGTTGTTAAGTGCTGTAGACTCAGCTCTGAGTCATAGCAATCCTCTTTACAACAGAATGAAACATTGCCCAGTCCTGTACCATCTGAACAATCAAGTTTAACTTTGAGCCCATTGCTACTGCCACTGTGTCAATCCATCTTGTCGGGAGTCTTCCTCTTTTTCGCTGACCCTCCACTTTACCAAGCATGATATCCTTCTCCAGGGAGTGGTCACTCCTGATAACATGTATGAAATATGAGAGGTGAAGTCTGTCTACTCCAGCTTCTAAGGAGCATTCTGGCTGACTTCTTCCAACAAAGATTTGTTAGTTTTCTGGCAGTCTGTGGTACTTTTAATATTCTTCTCTAACATCATAGCTCAAGTGCATCAATTCTTCTACGGTCTTCCTTATACTTTGTGCGATGTTCACATGTCTATGAGACTTGAAAATGCTATGGCTTAGGTCAGGAGCACCTTTGCCTTCAAATTAGCATCTTTACTCTTGAGTACTTCAAAGAGTTCTTTTGCAACAGATTTGCCTAATGCAATACATCTTTTGATTTCCTGACATCTGATTCCATGAGTGTTAAAGGTCGATACAAGCAAAATGAAATTTTCAATGACTTTAATCTTGTCTCCATTTATATGGATGTTGTTTGTTGGTCCAGTTGTGAGGACCTTTATTTTATTTACATTCATGTGCATTCCATATCTAAGGCTGTTGTCTTTGATCTTCATCAGTATTTTAAGTCCGGGTCACTTCCACACTTCCAGCAAGCAAGGTTGAATCATCTGGATATCAAAGGTAGTTAATGGGTGTTTCTACAATCCTGATGCCACGATCTCCTTCATATTATCCAGCTTCTGGATTGTTCACTCAGATATACATATTGCATAATTAAGGTGAAAGGATACAATGCTGGCACACACTTCTCTGATTTTAAGCATTCAGCAGCCCTTTGTTCTGTTCCAACAATTGCCTTTTGTTCTTTATATAGGCTTCTCATGAGTACCTTGATGTATTTTCCAATTCTCATTCTCTACAATGTTATCCATAGTTTATTATAATCCACAGAGTGGAAAGCCTTTGCATAGTCAACAAAACACAAGTAAACATCTTTTGGATATTCTCTGCTTTCAGCTAAGATCCATCTGATGGCAGAAATGATATCCCTCATTCCATATCTTCTTCTGAATCTGGCCTGAATTTCTGGCAGCTCCCTGTTGAAGTACTGTT